ATTAATTATTTTGTATTTGTATATTTACACATCATTGAATATTACATTTTTATATAATATTTATAAATTTAAGAAATGATCATTATTAATCATAAGTTTAAAAATTTTATAAATTCAAATGGCAATATAAAATATTATATGATATGATAATTTATATAATTTATTTAATTTATATAATGTATTTATATAATTACAAAAAATAAATATAATGCAGCAAAAAAATTAATTATAATATTCATATAATTAAAGAAAACTTAAAATATTTATTAAATATGTATCCATATTTGACCGAAAAATCATTTGAAAAATTTACTATTTCTCATTTAATAATTTATATTAATATACACTAATAATTTTTAAATACAGCAGAAAATTTAAATAACAAAACAGCATTTAAAAATAATACATAGAGAAAAACATATTACTCATTTTAATTAATATATTTATTTTTTCTTTTTCTTACCACTCATTTCCATTATTTTGTAAATCAAAAACTTTTACAATTTGATGATAATTATTAAATTTACAATGATAATAATTTATTAATTCATCAAATTGTTATTTGATAATAATGTTCAAAAACTTCAATATTATTATTTAATATTATTTAAATTAAAATTATTCATTTATTCATTCATTTATTAATAAAAAAATAAATATATAGACTCTTTCGATATATTAACTTAAAAAAAAAAGAATTTCTTACCTGAAAATCCAGTCACAATTTTTGCAAAGATCTGCCTAAATTTCAAAAATCAGGATTTACAATACCGAGCTATCCAATCAATCTTAAAAATCATCTATTAATCTTCACATAAATTTTTTATAAATATTAAGAAAATAACAAGGTAATTGTGGACACTATAAAAAAAATCGTATCCGTGCATTCAATATTTTATATAAATTATTAATTTTTTAATAATTCTTGATATTAAAAATAATTTGTTTTTAATATTAAGTTTTTAATATTAAGAGCCTTTTTATTTTTTTTTGCTTTATTAAGTTATATAAGATATAGATATATGTGTGAAAACAATACTCAATATACAATGTCTTATTTTAATCAAAGCACTTGAATTTCTCCAAAACCAGAGATATCGAAATCATGTTTTCACGGGGTTGTATGATATCGAGGGGAACATATTTTGATAAAAAAGATGTTAATTTCGAGTGCATAAAGATCAAATTAAAACCAATTTAATTTTTGAAATGGTAGCCTTTTTTAAACATTTACGTTTGTAGTATTGCTCATTACGAGTTCAACGTGCTATGACTGAAAGTCCAAAGTCAAATAACCAAATGCGAGCTTATAATTGGATGGCATCTAACATCTGGAAAGAGAGTAGTACGCCGCTACACGTTGCAGCAGGCTTTCTCGAATTTAAAATTTGGCCATTAATAGAGCATAAGTGTGAGCATCTAAAGCAAATGCCTTGTTCAGGCTAGATATTACTAGGATATTACTTAGATTCTAAACGGATACGAATTTTATTCTAATCTTTAATAATGACAGATTATACACCAAATAAAATAGTGGATATGTCGTTAATTTTAAAAGAATGTTATGGTAATTTCGGGGCTACTGCGCGCTTGTATTGCGATCGATATCCTAATAGCTATCCAACATTGTAATTCGGAATTATAACATATTAAAACTTCAACAAGATCAAATTCATAAGACTTGTACACAATGAGGATTGAACGAAATTACTACCCGTATGGAAAGAAACTATTGAGAACTATTGAAAACTATTCAGATTTCTATAGTTACCATTCTATAGTTACCATTCAATTTCTGTAGTAACTATTGGCGATTACATGCATGAATAATAATTGAATAGTACCTGCGACTATAGGCGAATA